GAACAGAGTTTAAAATAGATATGCAACAGTCTAGTAACGTCTAGACAATTCTACGTCTTTTTTAATATCATGCGAAAGCTGTGCGAGCTTCAGTATTACATTGAAGTCTTTCAAAAGGAATTGGTAGTTTTTTTGTGCATATATCTTATTTTAAAAATATTCATATAATATTTATTTTTTAATAAGTAAATTTCTTATTTCTTAATTTTTTATACAATTTTTTAATATTATAATTATGTATTATTAAATTTTATTTACTTAAACATATATTTATATAATATATAATAATATAATATACTAATCTAATTATAATCTAATTTTATAATATATTTAATTTATAATCTAATTTTAATGTTGTGTTTTATATAATAAATAAATATAATATAATATAATATATAATAAATAATTTTTTTTATATAATTTTATGTGATTAATAATTTTTCAGTTAAAAAATATTTCAATATGACGAAAATAAAAAATTTAACTGCACATGAATGGAAAGAGAAGGGCAATATAGAATTCAATAAAGGAAATTGGTCAGAAGCTTTAAGTTGTTATACAAGTGCATTAAAACTTGCAGATAAAGATAATTCTGAAAAAGCTATATATTATAAAAATCGTGCTGCAACATATTTAAAGCAAGAAGAATATAATAAAGCAATTAAAGATTGTGATGAAGCTCTTAAAATATGCCCAAATGATCCAAAAGCATTATTTCGTAGATGTCAAGCATTAGAAGCATTAGAAAGATTTGAAGAAGCATATCGTGATGCAAGATATATTATTTCTGCTGATCCTGCTAACAAAACAATCCAGCCTATTGCTGCAAGATTACATGAGATTGTACAAGAAAGATATAGACAGAATTCTCGTATCAGTGCCAAGGTTTGTATATTAACATATAATATTATTGTTATATAATAAGTTAATTATAATGTATTCCTTGGAATCTGCAAATAAATAAAAAATTTTTTACAATGTAATTCAATCTATAATAAATATGTTTTTTATCATAGGTATCACAAATGATGGATATAGCTTTTGAAATGAAAGAAAATAATGAAAAGCGAGAAACAGCAATGAATAATTTACTTGTTCTTGCTAGAGAGAGAGCAGGAGCAGAAATAATGTTTAATGATGGAATCGTTTCTAAAATAACAAAGATACTTAAACTTGAGAAAAATGAAGAAATAATAACAATTGCTATTCGAATTATTACAGAATTATGTAAAGATAACATTAATAGAACTAAAGATATTTTGAAGCATATTGGTATACCTTGGTGCTTAGAAATGATTAATAGTAAAATTGCAGAAAGAGTAAATGTTGCTCAATATTATTTACAGGTTAGCAAATTTAACAAACATAAAAAATTATTTTTAATTGTAAAATATATGCTTTTTTAAAACTATGTTTTGCAGACATTGCTAAATACATATAGTGGAATGAATAATAAACCAGATTCAAAACCAAATAAAGAATTATGTGACAAATACAACAAAGAAATAGATACTATTTTATCATGTTTACTCTGTAGTGTAACAAGTAGAACAATTTCTGGATTAGCTAGGGATGCAATTATAGAACTTATTATGCGTAATATTCATTATACTACATTAAATTGGGCAGAACGATTAGTTGAACTAAATGGTTTACAACGTTTAATGGAAGTTGCAAGTGAACTTGAAGAATATAAATATGAATCTTCAATGGATATTACATCATCTACCAGAACTATAACAAGTGTATGTTTGGCAAGAATTTATGAAAATATGTATTATGATGCAGCAAAAGAAAAGTTTAAGAATGCTATTGATGAATATATTAAAGATAAGTTACTTACACCAGATTTAGAATCTAAGGTTGGTAATACATCAATAATTTTTAATAATTTTTAATAAAAATTATATTATAAAATTATTACATATATATAAATATAATATTTATATTTTTATAAAATTTTTTATAAAATTTTATTTCATATTTATTTATTTAAACAGGTCCGTGTTGTAGTTTCAATAACAACTTTATTATTGGGTCCATTAGATGTTGGAAATTCAGTAATTGCTAAAGAAGGTATTTTAGAAATGATACTTGTTATGGCAGGCACAGATGATGTATTACAACAAAAAGTAGCTTGCGAATGTATTATTGCCGCTGCATCCAAAAGAGATAAAAGTACTGCAATTATCAATCAAGGCGTGAATATATTAAAAAAGTTGTATCAATCTAAAGATGATTCTATCAGAGTACGTGCTTTAGTAGGATTATGTAAATTAGGCAGTTCGGGTGGTACAGATGCTACAATAAGACCATTTGCTGATGGAGCAACAAAAAAATTAGCTGAAGCTTGTAGAAGATTTTTAATTAATCCTAAAAAGCAAAAAGATATGAGAAAATGGGCAGTAGAAGGATTATCATATCTTACTTTTGATGCTGAAGTCAAAGAAAAGTTAATTGAAGATGTTGAAGCAGTTCAAGCCATGATAGAACTTGCTAAAACTGGAGATCAATCTGTAGTTTATGGTGTTGTTACTACATTAGTAAATTTATGTAATGCTTATGATAAACAAGAACTTATACCAGAAATGATTGAATTAGCAAAATTCGCAAAACATCATATACCAGAAGAACATGAACTAGATGATGTAGATTTTGTAAATAAAAGATTAAATGCATTAGCTAAAGCTGGTGTAACAAGTGCATTAGTTGCACTTTCTAAAACAGAAAGTCAAAATAGTAAAGAATTAATAGCGCGTGTATTTAATGCAATATCTAGTCAACAGGAAGTACGAGGAATTATTGTTCAACAAGGTGGTGCAAAAGCTCTTTTACCATTAGCTTTAGATGGTACAGATAAAGGAAAGAAACAAGCATCACAAGCTCTTGCCCGATTAGGAATTACAATAAATCCAGAAGTTGCATTCCCTGGACAAAGAATAATGGAAGTAGTTCGACCATTTATAAATCTCTTAAATGCAGAATGTTCTGCTCTTGAAAATTTTGAAGCTTTAATGGCTTTATGCAACTTAGCTGGAATTAACGATAGTGTTAGAAAACGAATTCTGAAGGAAGGAGGTTTTCAAAAAATTGAAATTTATATGTATGAAGATCACGAAATGTTAAA